GAAACTTTTGTTAAAAATGATTCCTGTTTTGCTAAAAATTTTGACCTTGAAGTTTGTTTGGATATTAATCATATGCAAAAATAGTAATACTAAATTCCATTTATTACAGATTAAACAGATATATTTCAGACAATATGTTGTTTTAATGATTTGCATAATAAAATTACTTAAGACATTTATTGCAGAAAGAAATTAAAATATGACTTGGACAAAAGGGTTGAAAAGTAAATACAAAATGATTGAACAAAGTCATTGTTCAGACGCATCATAACTATCAATAAATGTATAAAACCTCTGAAAACCGGAATCCTCTGAAAACCGGACTTTTGGCCAAGTCCGGACAGGGTCCGGTTTTCAGAGTTTTTACTGTATTTTCTAAGTCAATAATTGACCTTCAAGTGTGACCTTGACCTTAAGCCGGCAAAAGGGTAACATGGGTTCTGCACATTACCTTGTTGAGATGAACATTTGAGCCAAGATTGAAGAAAATCTTTCAATTAGTGTAGGACTTACAGAGCGGACACAACATACTGTCTAATATTTGATTGTTTGATATTTGACCTTCAATTGTGACCTTGACCTTGAGCTGACACATGGGCAACATGGGTTCTGCACATTCCCTTGTTGAGGTGAACATTTGAGCCAAGTTTGAAGAAAATCCTTCAGTTGGTATAGGATTTATAGAGGGGACACAATAATGGAGATGGACAGACCGACCGACGCGACAAAGCAAATCCATTATAAAATTTCTCACATTTATAAAAAGCTGACAATCTAACAAAGGCCATTATGTTACAGTATACCAGGGTACTTAAACACTTAATCTTGGTATTAAGTACAAACTGTAAATCTAAATTGAAATTATTATAGCAAAGAAGCAAAAAAATATGAACTGAAAAACACAAAATTAAAGAAAAAAACTTTCAAAATCTTTATTTGAAAATATACATAAAAAGATGGGTAACTGTGACTTAATTATCAGAAAAAAATAATATTGGAAGACACATTTGAAAATCAATCTTATCATAATAAGCTGTAATTTAAATTGTGAAAAAAAAAATAAGGGGAATTCAAAAAATGCTGAATTTTGTAATTTCTTTAAAAAAATCCATAAAGTTTAAAATAAAGAAAAAAGACATTTTAGGAGTCTAAAAATCTTGGAACTTTTTTGTGCAAGTCAATTTAAAAATTCCTTTTCCAAGTTTTTAAATTTTGCAAATTTGAAAAAAGTGGACAATATTTGAATTCTTGACAGGAATAAACTTCATAAATGCTTACTAACATTAGCTATATAATGTTAAAAGTCATATTTAAAACTTGACAACCTCCATAAATATTTGCAAAAACTGGCCTCATAGTATATATAGGGTTTTCCTTTCAAAATGCATAAAAATCAACAATCCTATAATACACTCGCATATATATATGCAGTTCTAATGCTCATCTGTAAAAATTCTTAGTTAAAATGAGGCGTATCTCCAAAAATATAACATTCAGAATTATGCCCCCTGACTAACAACTATACCTTGTCAAGATAAGCAAGTATTCTGAGTGTGATGTTGATAACTTTTAAACATGTTAAATTTATGGGATACATTTAAGTTCACAACAACTACAACGATGCTGCAGCTACATGTGTATCATAATAGTTTGACAATTTACTTGAGCTAAAAATTACCTGAATGTATATCAATTTTAATGTAAAATTAAAGTAAAAATGGTTGCGTATAAAGGTGATAATCAAAAAAACTTCTAGATCTGAGCAATGACCTGCTAAACATAACTCATAAAAATTATGACAAATTTTCTTAAACAACATTTTACAGTCATATTTACACCTGAAAATTTTAATGAATCATCATTCTTGTGTGACTTCATGTGATGTTTCGTATTAGATTTTTTTTTGTCCCACTGTCAAACTTTGTTTTATCACAATTGAAAATGTCTGCATATAATTGATGTGACTGCAAGTGATGCTTAGAATTGAAATCTTTACTTTTCACACTTTGTTAAATTACACTTGAAAATACCTTATAGCATAATAATGTCACTTCAAGTGATGCTTAGCATTAAAGGAACTCCACTCAGAGGTCCAAAAGCCTAAAAACATAAAAAGTTGAATTTCTAACAAAGATCAGTATTGGCACTTAAAACAGAATGATTAAGAAATACAGTGAAAATGAAAATCATATTTTTGGAGCTACTCTTATCCTGATTTAAGTGAAAAGCATGGCAACACTTTTCAATTTAGGTCCTTTTTCACAATAAGAATAATTATTTCGGGAATATCAAATAAGCAATTGATTTGACATTTTGCACACAAGTTAATTGCATAGACTTACATCAAATTGAACATTAATCTTGAAAAAAATTATTGCCAGTCCCATTATGTCAAATTAGCTCAGTGGAATCCCTTTAAGTATTTTTGTCACACTTTGTTTATTTACACTTGAAAATGTCTTAGCATAATGTACATTCAAGTAATACTTAGCATTAAATCATTCATCCCACTTTCTTTATTTACACTGAGTCTTGAAAATGTCATAGCATATGACACTTCAAGTCATACTTAACATAAAATATTTTTGTCACACTTTATATATTTACACTTGGTAATGTCTAAGCATAATTATGTGACTTCAAATGATTCTTAGCAATAAATCTTTCGAATCATCACACTTTCTTTATTTACACAGTCTTGAAAACATCTTTGAGTCTTGAAAATCTCTTCACATACCAGACCTCAAGTCATACTTGGCAGTAAATATTTTTGTCACATTTTGTTTATTTACACTTGGTAATGTCTAAGCATAATTATGTGACTTCAATGATTCTTTAAGCAATAAATCTTTCGAATCATGACAATTCCTTTATTTAAAAAGTCTTCAAGTCCTGAAAATCTCTTCACATACCAGACTTCAAGTCATACTTGGCAGTAAATATTTTTGTCACATTTTGTTTATTTACACTTGGTAATGTCTTAGCATATGTGACTTCAAGTGATGCTTGGCATTAAATCTTTTGTCACACTTGGAACAGGCAAATGGCTTTTCTCCTGTATGTATTCTCATATGTATTTCAAGATGTGAAGGTCTCGTGAAAGCATTTCCGCAAACCATGCACTTATATTTCTTGTTAGATTTGACTGCTTTGTACATATCACTATCGTACTGTAATGTCATCTCATCTGAAATGTTAAAGACAGAACTAAAGTATATACAGAGTTATTATGAGCACATTATGTTAAGTGCATGTGAACTTAGTAAAAATCTGCAAAATGGCATACATGTATAAATACACAATGTTTTCCATTTAATAATAAGCATAGATAAACATAATCATAGGTAAGCTTTCCTTCTACAGCTACATGCCTCCAGGTGAGCCAAAATAGTTCATTAAAATTAAATTTGAGAAAAACATTTAAACCATTTTAAGAAAAGTAAAACAATTTCAAGATTCAAGTAATACTTTACATGTTTAATGACTGAATTCGCAGTATTTATCACCATATTTCAACTGCATGACTACTGTAGTAAGGGCTATTTTTGTAATTATTTTGTCCTCTTTTTAGAGATTTATGTGGACAGTGTGTGCTGTTTGCAATGTGTAAACTGTCTGTGTTCATTTCACAATATATTTGTAGTTGACCTTAATAATTTCATGTTGTAGTTGACCTATAAATTTCATGAAAATTAGCATATATATGATTTATATATAAGATATGTTCAATATGCAACAAATTTTCTTCAAGTTCAATTCTAGATGAATCAATATTAAATTCTAAATAACCATTTTTATAGGTGTTTTTTTCTTCAATTTTTATATGCATCTGCAATCAACTATTTATATTTAATTTAATGATTTTCAGCCATGACATAGCCATGACATAGCAATATGTATACAAAATGTACATAGGTTTAAATTTTAGTGACTTTCTACTTTATTTTTACACAAAAGAAAGAGAATTACTATGCTTCACATAGAGTACACAGTTTATTAATGTATTTCAGCCCACTGATATTGCAGTCGTAAGAAAAATTTATAACACTTTCATAAAACTATTTTCTAATCACTTAACATATTAACTTAACACGGAGAGAGTTTTCAAAAAAGCTTTACAAGCTTCCTACTCAATCCGTAAATTTTATTTTATGTAATTTATTATGTAAATGTGTGGATTATCAATAAAAAATATTGTTTAAACTAACTTAACACTAGAAACCTAAGTTACCATTCTCATATAACCAATAACACTTTTACTGCAGTCTAATCACATTTTTCCAATGTCACTAATACTGTCTTACACTACTTAATATCAAAAGTAAGAAGGCCTTTTTAATAATTTTAATTATCTGGTTATAATATTTTTTGTTTGAATGTGAGAGCAGCTGTTGAACATTTGATCTCTAGAAGATTTTAGGGGAAGTTTATTATGTGGATCCATCAAGTCAAACTGTGTACATTTGCTGGCTTGATTTTTATTATTTTCTTATTGATATTCCTAAAATCTATACTATATATAAATAATACCATAATCAAAGTTGAATAAGTCTATTACACAAAATCATCATGTGCAGGGAATAAACTACTTTATAGTGGTATAGAAAATTTCCTGTAACAAACACAAGACATGTGTCAAAGAAAAACACCCTTCAGATTTTTTCAGTGCTGGATAAAATAGTTTAGGGGGTATAACTTTGCAACATTAAATTGTAGGATTATCTACCCTTTTGAAATGGTGGTACATTTTTATTGTAACCAAAATTATATACCAATTTTTAAAGTGCAGAGCTTTGCTAGTTCCTAGTTAACAAATGCACAGGACTCAGGTGTGAGTCAAAACAAATAGATCCAATTTTTTTTCGTCAAAAACTTTAGCTAAATATAAAATTACATTTATCATATGTCTTTGTATTAACCTTGTTTTTAGTTTGAATAATGCGTCATAAGATGTCCTGACAAATGGCCCTTTAATCTGTATGTTTTATGACAAATCTTGCAGGCAAATGGTCTCTCTCCGGTGTGAACTCTCATGTGTATATCTAGATGAGATTTCCAGCGAAATCTTTTCCCACACTCTGTACATTCATTTTCACCTATATTTAGACACTGCTGCGATCGTTTTCCTTGATCTGAAAATTGAAAATAAAAAGTTTAACTAATGTCATTTTTACAATTTATATTTTTGATAATTGTACACATATATATATATATATATTTTTTTTCCTTTGACCTATTTAAATGCATCTATAAATCTAATGGCACACCACATACCCACATGCAAATTTATATAATAATAACATTTTTTCAAACTAATCAAATGCTAATGAAATAACTGATCAGTTATTACAGTGAAGCTTCTGACTTCAGATCCAAATTATCCTCCAAGAAAAATCTAATCAGTTATCAAGATGCCTTTATAATATACATATATCTAGAAAATTACCCATTTTCTATCAAATAATTGTATGTTCTCAAGATAACTCTAGTTTTGTCATGGCAGAGTACTCTAATTGAATCTCAATGTGTCAAAGCCATATAAATTGCGTCAAAAATGCAACAATGCATATTCTGGAAGAAACACTGGAGTAGGTAGATTAGACTGATAGGTATTGTGTATCTCAAACATGGGGGCGGAGAAATATTTATTTGAAAAGAAACATCTTTAAGAAGGCTTACCAACAGCAACAATTATCAACAGTTGAACTTGATATATAATATTATTATTAAACGCTTAAAGTGTCACTGATCAACCTAATTTTATCACTCCAAGTACCGAGCCATGAGGTCAGCCTCTTTACCTTTTTAAACGCTCAATCCTACCATTTCAACCCTTATCCTTCTAAATATTTTGAAAGGAATTTTATCAAAAATTAGATATATGTACTGACTGAATAATGAGCATTCCAGACATGATCAGACAGCACAGCCCGGATAATTTTCACATTGGTAGAATCTGTTGCAGTCAGCATGCTTTGAGTGGCCAACCAAATGAGAGGTCATTATATATATAAATTGGCCATTATTCAAAATGAACTCTGTCTGTGTTTTATCAATGAAGGTTTGTCAAAAAAGTGGTCTTTATTTACAGGGTGGTCATTATTATGAGGTAACATTGGCACAGACTTGACTGTATTTTATATAATAGTTACAGATTTGTTAATGCATAACCTTAAGTGTGCAACAATATCCCTGTGGCTGGGGATATAAATATTTATTGTCTTTATTTCAGTTAACAAGCAAAATAAAATATGTTTATTTCAATGGAAACAAAAGATTTTTTTTTTAAATATCCAATTATTGGGATGCAATGAATCTATAAAGAAAAGCATGTTGCTAATTTGGTTGTTTTATTTTCACAAAACTAAATATACCAAATTGTCCTTAAATATAAGTATGAAAAGCTTTACCTAAGCTCTAAGCACAATTATGCATGAAAACATCTTATAGGAGCGCCAGTCCTGTCTTAAAATGGATATTTAAAACCTTTTTATTTATAAAAAAAATCTCGCAAAAAAAACAACAATCTGTTTTTCAAAGCAAATGTCCAAGACAACTTCTATTTGTTTTTTAGAAAACACTGTCTTGTTAAGGGCACTGCTGCCTTTCATTATGAAATCAAATATCTGTTCATGAAAACACTGATTTGTATTTGTACATCTGCACATATAAAACATGTAACAATACATCTCTCTGCATATGGATACACTTTTCTTGCCTAATAACATCTGTTTAAAAACACATCTTCATATCAAATACTAGTATGATAGTCTACGTTACAGACTGGTGAGTGTCGAAACATCAGTTAACATCAATAACTAAACATTATCCATTGTTGTTTGTTCCATTTTATCATAATATTAGAGTAATAATCCATATTAATAACTGATCTCCTGCTCATGTTTCTTTTTATAATTGTCAATCTTATGCATGAACACATGTTTATTATAGTTACTCCTATCACCGTATGCCTTCCCGCAGACAGCACAACAGTATGGCTTCTCTCCGGTGTGAAGTCGCAGATGTGTCCTCAATGTGGAACGGTTCTTCAGAACTTTTCCGCAGAATTTACAGACGAATCCTCCGCTTGGGTCTCTGTACGAAGCTTCAGAAATATCAGCTGACAAGTTAAACTGAGAGGAGTCATCCATCACTGAAATGTAAAATAAATATCTATTTAGGTATGTTAATTATTTTACCAAAATTCTTTATGTTTGTTTACAACATAACTATGGGATATGAACAACATAAGAACTACAAGATAAAATAGAAACACATGTAACATAACTATGACAAAAGAAAAGGCAAAACATTTTTGCTTTTAGTTTAGTATATATATATATACATGTATACATAATGTATAATCAAGGTAAGATGAATTCACCAATCAATTGGTCAATTTCAAATTGATGACTGTTGACAGTTACATGTTGTGTTTAGAACAGATAGTTGCATTTAGAATTAATCTATTTAACCCAAACAAACCAAACCTTTAAATTCATTAAGATACAAATGTAAGAAACAACAGTGCCTTTGAACAGTGCTTTGGTATTTACAACTCCAAGGTATTAAAACATTATGTGTAAAATACTTCAGTATCTATATCATTATTGTCACGATCTAAATATCCAGGTTAACAGAAACACTTAGACATAACTGATTTTTTCTCTATAATTTGCAATGTAATTTGCTTTTGGATATATTTAGGTAGATATGATACAAGAAACACTTTCTTTTTGCAACTTTTATTACAACAGAAAAAAACACCATGTTACTATGACAGTTGGTCTGAATTATCTTGTTAATTTAGGACTAAATCAAATTCTTAATATGGATTTAATACAATATAAGTATGAAGAAACCAATTGTTTATCTTTTTTTTTAATATTACAGAGAAAATGTCAATTTTTGGCAACATCTGCTGTGATAAGTGCATATTTTGAAATATAAATATCGTTTACAACTCATTCTGACTGGGGACTATCACTGTAAGACAACTCGCCTACTTTAAAGCATTTTTTGTTATAGAAGAGAAGTATGTGATACATGGTTAAATTTGTGTTGTAGGTCATTGTGAATGTTGTGAAGGTAATTGTCAATGTCTTGTAGGTAACTATGTTGTATTGAAGGTAACTATGTTGTGTTGTAGGTAACTATGTTGTATTGTAGGTAACTATGTTGTATTGTAGGTAACTATGTTGTGTTGTAGGTAACTATGTTGTATTGTAGGTAACTATGTTGTATTGTAGGTAACTATGTTGTATTGAAGGTAACTATGTTGTGTTGTAGGTAACTATGTTGTATTGTAGGTAACTATGTTGTATTGTAGGTAACTATGTTGTGTTGTAGGTAACTATGTTGTATTGTAGGTAACTATGTTGTGTTGTAGGTAACTATGTTGTATTGTAGGTAATAATGTTGTGTTGTAGGTAACTATGTTGTATTGTAGGTAATAATGTTGTGTTGTAGGTAACTATGTTGTATTGTAGGTAATAATGTTGTGTTGTAGGTAACTATGTTGTATTGTAGGTAACTATGTTGTGTTGTAGGTAACTATGTTGTATTGTAGGTAATAATGTTGTGTTGTAGGTAACTATGATGTATTGTAGGTAATAATGTTGTATTGTAGGTAACTATGTTGTATTGAAGGTAACTATGTTGTATTGTAGGTAATAATGTTGTGTTGTAGGTAACTATGTTGTATTGTAGGTAATAATGTTTGTGTTGTAGGTAACTATGTTGTATTGTAGGTAATAATGTTGTATTGTAGGTAACTATGTTGTATTGAAGGTAACTATGTTGTGTTGTAGGTAACTATGTTGTATTGTAGGTAACTATGTTGTATTGTAGGTAACTATGTTGTTTTGAAGGTAACTATGTTGTGTTGAAGGTAACTATGTTGTATTGTAGGTAACTATGTTGTATTGTAGGTAACTGTGTTGTATTGTAGGTAACTATGTTGTATTGAAGGTAATAATGTTGTGATGTAGGTTATTATGGTGTGTTTTAGGTATTTATGTTGTGTTAGGTAACTAATGATGTAGTGTTGTATATAGCCATATTGTATTGTAGGTAAGTATGTTGTGTGGTAGGTTACCATGTTGTGTTGATTGTAACTATGTTATGTTGTAGGTTTCCGTCTTGTGTTGTCAGTAAGTATGACTATCTTGTGATGTAGGTAACTATGGCAACATAACATGAACTGCTTTATGACTCGTCAGACTGCTTTTCCTGGAGAAACATTTTCCGCACTGGTCACACGAGAATGGTTTTTCTCCAGTATGTGTTCTCATATGCATCTCAAGATGAGAATTCCAGCGGAACTTTTTATTACACAACACACAAGCAAAGTCACCAATGTTCAGACAGTTGTACGTTCTGTAAGATTGACTAGCAGATGATGCCATGTCTGTGTTTCTGTCCGTATTGCTGTCTGTATTGCTGTCAAAAGACCGATATAGCAATGTCATATCACTTGTTACATCTTAAACAGAAATAAAATAAGGTGTATCACTAAATAATATATATAATTGTCATTCAGTCCTAATATTTATAATACATGTATATATATTGCTACCAGAACAACCTAAATACCCTTTCACTCAACTGTACATGCAGTAAGTAAAAATATGGCAGTCATTTTCTATAATGTCCACAGTCAGAACAAAAACACTGCTAGCTAGTAAAACTTTATTTACATTCAGCACAACATGTTTTTGAACATTTCTTTAAAGGAAAACTTTTGACAATGTATCTTAATTCGATATTAAATGTGTTGTTTATGTTCAAAAGAATGCATTATTACTACCCGAAATTAAGCAACTGAATAGCGATAATTTAAATATGGACACTTCATTGAATTTAACTGAATGAACAATATGGCCAAGCTGTTCTTAATATTAAATATAATTAAACATATAGAACTAACATCCATTTATAACATTCATAATACTTGCATGAAAATTGTATGCATTGATAAACTGCAATATTTGCCAGAACATAAATTTTTATAAAGGATTTTCTATGCTGATCTTGGTTATTGACAGACACTGTCCCACTCTCAACAAAACATTCTAGAAACTATGGCATGAATGAGTTTTGAATTTGTATTAAAAACTTTTCTGATTTTTAATGAGATCAAACTCACAAAAAGTTTTCACAAATTGAACTGCCTTGCAAATGGCTTGGTTTTTTATATATTTTTTTTCATTCCAGTTCTCAATCTAATCACCACTTAATCCAAATTTTTTTTCATTTCTTTTTGCTTTTTACCCTTTTTTTGCTTATCAAAAAGTACTTCTGAAATCTATTTTTTAAGAATCACATGCTGTAATCTGCAAGTACTGTTTTATCTGGTATGCCATCTCTTATATCTCTTCTCTGTGTAATAACTTTTCTGTTGTTTAGAAATTATTTTCAATTTCAGATTTTTTGTGAATTACAAAATGTTTCCTTAAGTTGCTCTGCTCAGCAAAGGCTTGGTCACATAAGCTGCACTTGAAGGGTTTCTCTCCAGTATGCGTTCTCATGTGTTTGTCAAGATGTGACGGCCAACGAAACCTTTTGCTGCAGATGACACATACATAGTTCCCGACATTGAGACATCTTCTTATGTCGGATCCACCTTAAAATAGATAAAATAAACATTAATATCAGACGAGTACATAACATTAAAATATTATAAAAATAGAGATAAAAATAACATTGATATTATATGTGTCGGCTATTAAAGAAGTGATACGGCTGGTAATATCTTCACGGATATACATGACCATCCTGACCACGCTTGTACATTTATAATATAAAAACCTTTCTATACATGAACTCTATTCAAGAACACAAACTGTACAGGAAATGAAATTTAGTTACAACCATATTTTTTGTTTAGCTTAGTAACACTATACTATGAATTTGTGATATATAGAAAGAACTACATTTCAAATAAAATCTGCTTTCAATGCAGTCTCAGTAACTACTTCAGAAATATTGTTTGATCAATATCCCACTTGCTTTTCTCCTTTCTGACAAAGTGTTACCATGTCAACTCCTTGCCCAGTACTGTGGATTCACTTTCATGGGGGGAGGGGGGGTAGGACATGAAATTTCGTGGTAATGTGAAACAAAAGACATTCTTGTGGGTTCTTAAGTTTGTGGATTGTCTTGTTTTTGCAAAACAAGTCAAATGCAATTAATGTAATGAAAATAATGGTACAGCAAACAAAATAAAATTTCACTGGTTGTTGAATATTGGTGATTTTACAATATGTCTGTATTGTATGTATTTTTAAATGGCTCATTTTTAAGGTCCCCTGGTGCTTTGTTCACTTTTTGAGACTACATAACCATGATTCTATACAAAGCATTTTATTTCTGCAAACTAACTTTATACATTCAGATGACATAAAATTTTATCTTGACATCCCAAAATTTGATCATGAACAGTTAAAAAACTGGAAACTATAGTAAGTATATCTATTGAAAAAAAATCTGCTGGTTTACAATTAATTTGCCAATTATAATAATTTGAACTGCAATAACTTTTTTCCTACCTTTTTATTACTTATAATATAATATAATATAATGTATAATAAAAAAGAAATAAAACTTGCACCATGTACACACATAAACTATACATTAAGCATTATAAAATGTAAATTTGTATAATTCATAAATATTTCACCAAAAAAAAGCACATTAAGCATAAGTTTTGTAAGCTAGCTACATTGTACAATAAAATCTAAAATATGAAATCTGATCATATTAGTACATGACACAGAAAAGCAATACATGTATTTGTTATATACAATAACACTAACAATACTTCTGTATTTCTCCATTCTATATAACACTCCCAAGAGACAAGAACTGTCACAATCTGCAATTCTTCACTTAAAATCTTTTCCAGTACAGTGTTCATAAATTTCATTAGCTTTTTTAACTCCTATTTAATACATGAAATGAAATTCGCTTGGTATTGTTCAATTCTAAATGCACAACTTAAAACTTAATATACTTGTCTTTTAAAACTGCCAAGTCAATATTAAATCATAGAACTTCACTTGGTTTTTGGTAAGGTAATGTCAATGTATATGGCATTAGGTGACATAAATTAATTTCCATGGCGTATGTAATAAAATTCATTTTCCATGGCAGATAGTGGAATAATTTAATTTCCATGGCTTAAGTTGGAATAAATTAACTTCCATGGCACCAGGTGGAATAAATTAATTTCCATGGCAAAAAGTAAAATTTCAGTTGCCATGGTAAAAAGTTACTAATAATGGCCAATAGTTATTGATCACTAGGTGAATCACTGGGTTTGATTGGAACGGGAAAGTGAACGATTTTGTGTTTCTTCAAATTACTGCTGTCGGCGAAACCTTTACCACACTCGTCACATTTGTACGGCTTTTCTCCGGTGTGTATTCTCATATGTGTTCTCTTGTACTTCTGGTTAAAGACACGGTTACACAGTGTGCACATGAACTTTTTATCTCCAGATTTCTCCGCAGGTATATTGTAAGAAAATGGATCTTCAGGGTCGTCACCTGAAAAACATAAATAAAAACGATATACATTAAGTGCCGTATGTAGATCTTTTACTTAATTTACTAAATATCTAGCCAGCTAAGTTTATGTTTTTACTGTTCTCACGTACACAACTCAAACAGCACATCAAATCTTAGTGGGACAGCAATCAAAATTTCAATCATGCAGTCTTAACAATCTAAAGTGAACATATTGTACTTTTCACAATTTAAACAAACACACATAAACGAGTACACATTTCATGCTCCACAATTCATTTTTCATTTATTTGCTGTTTTTCATTTGTATATACAGTATATTCATAAGTATTATTTTTATTATTATTTCTTTCAGTATGATTTAGCAACAATATATGGTAAACTTAGTGCAGTAACAGGTTATTCTCTTTTTATAATTTGATAGGAGTTATCCTCTTATTGCACTTAGGTGACAATATATTTGGTATATAAGAACTATTAACCCTTAAAATGCTGGATTTCTTCAATGGACTTGTCCACCTTCCATTTTTGGACCTGTTCATTATAATTGTGAGGATATCAAGATGAAAATTTTATGCTAATTAGCCACTAGTGTAGTGCCTGCATGGTCGAACTACATGCCAATTTTAGAGCTCCTTAATTAATAAATTTCAGCCATGATCAACATTTGAGTAGATGTATATATTCCTGAAAGGAAAAAAATTTCATAACTTTGTAAGGACTGTTAAACAACATGAGGGGCATGATGAAACCCTTATAAGTCATTCAAAAGATAATTTTGAATTTACTCTAATAACATTGTCCATAACAAACAGCACACATTGTATATGAAATTGCACCACATCCCACTTAAAAACACACACAAAAACGAAAATCATTTGAAAGTTAAATTTTATTTACATATATAATATACACACAATATTAAAAGCATGAAAAAATTAAGCTAACAATTTAATAATCAAGTCAATTTAAACACCAAAATCAGATTCTTATTTTGTTCTTTCTAGAAGTAATCATTGTCAACAGATTAACATAATTTATACAATTTGTCAACAAATAAATATAATTTTATATGCAACAGTAAATTACATATATAAGATATTATGAAAAAAATCTTCACAATGTTCTTTAATTTGCATCCTTTAAATTGTAATATATTGAAGACATAATTTCAATATAACTTTCAATTCTTAACATTCCCTACAATAATATTACAATCTGTTGAAAATGTATACAATTATTTAAATACAATATTATTCCTCATATTAATGTAATATTATGTTCCTACAAAAAAAACGTGAAATTTCAAGCCCAATAAATTTCAGGTAAGAAATAGTATGAAATGTTCATGGATGATTATGGACTGAAAGTTGTGTAACATAACTGGTATATATACAAGACAAAAACAAAAAATTTAAAATGATGTTCAAACTAAACTACAGCAGTAAGTGCTAAATATTTCATCTGTACACATACAAGTAAAACTAATTAATTCTTATATCATCAACAATAATTTCTATTTATTCTAATCATTGTATATTAGCAACATGCTCTAATTAAATCTCAAAAACAAAAGTTCAAGCTTTTAATTCCAAGGAAACTTTCTGTACTGACATCAATTCATTATCACTTATATACATATGATAATGTAACTACGGTATACAGTTCTCTCCCAATCTTATCATAAACCTAGTACATTTCATCAGGTCCAAACTGACATATATCTTCTTTCATGTTCACAGAATAATGTGTAATCCCATCTTACTGCATAATTATGCAATTTCATATTTTATTTTATTCCATGTTCACAGAATATTGTGTAGTTTCATGTAACAGTATGTTCATAGGATGTGTAAATCAGCTTTTTGAATTATTGCATGTTCACAAAATAACATGTTATTTCATAATTTGAATTATTACGTTCATAGAATGTATTGTAATGTTATATTTTGTCTTATGTCTGTGTTCACAGAACAATGTGTAATTTTTATATTTTGTCTACTTCAATGTTCACAGAATAATGTTATTTTGCCTTGTTTTATTCTATGTTCACAGAATGTGTTATTGTTTCTTGTCATATTGTATGTTCACAGAATAATGCATTAATTTGCTTCCTCTAATTTTAATAATGTCCACATAATAATGTATTACATGTATTTAGTCCTATTGTAAGTTCAAGGAATAATGTGTAACTTTATGTTTAGTAAAGTTACTCTTGTCTGTGAATGCCTTGCCACACTGTTCACATTTGAATGGTTTTTCTCCAGTATGTATTCTCATATGACTAGGCAGGTAGGACTTGTCGTAATATTTCCCGCATATACTGCACGGAGCTTTCCACGACACGCTAGTCATATCCAAAGGTTTCTCTACATAATCTGAAATGATATAACAAAAGTGGATATAATAAAATATAAGGCACTCGATGAAAATTTGTAAATGTGAACCAAGTAGATCTGAAATCAAGAATATCACAGGTGTACTTTGATGTAAATTTTGTAAAGCAGTCAAATTTGTTGAGGTTTCATGAAGAAATGTAGTACAGTGGCTTTGTCAGTCTTCCATAGATTTCAAAATCAATATATTTGGACTGAACAAAACTATTGTGGAAGGTGGTGGGGAGGTAAAATTGACACACTGACATTGTTATGGTCACATGATGATTCTCCAACTTTACAGATGCAGGAAGACAGACAATCCTCTGTGCATTATTATAAGCTGGCAACTGAGTTAGCCCCATCAGTGACCCCTCTATAAGCTAGCTGGATCATAAGCTTCCTAAAATAAAACAATCCAAAAACCTTGGTGAGATGCTAACCAACAGAGCAAAGCTTGTCTTTAAATATCAAACAAGATTTATTAATTCATAACCATACTTATTATTATATCATGTTTTACAACATTTAATACATGAACACTGTTAACATATATACAGTATATCTTTACACAGAGTAATTTGTAGTACACTAAAGTTTATTCTATAATTTACAATACTAAGCAATACCTTTGCACATCAACATGAATAGTTCTTAACTTTTAAAGTACCGGTGATTATATTCAAGAGAGGCAAGGAAAAATCTTAGCAAACTATTGCATGGCAATAGATGGCACTTTAACTAGCCTAACAGGACACTCACAGTTACTATCATAGTTAATTACCAGTTTATTGAATGCCAGTCTCAATCTTAGGTGGGTTGAACTTTTTACAGTTTCAATTAATTCTTTATACTGACTCTGGCAAAGTTGCAACCAGATCATTCTATGTACATTTTGTTACAACACATTTGAAAAGGTAACCGTAAAGGTCTAAGAATGGGTCATAATTATGAAGTTCAGATAGGTCTTCCTCTTAGCATAATCATGAAAAACATTTTTGATCAACATTACATTATTATTTATTTGAATGTGAAAGACAGCAAGTTGCTTCACTTTATACATTAAGAAATTGATTCCAATATTGACAAAAGAATGTTTGGGACATCTTTTCAGATCAAAATTATTAGATTTCGGTCTTTTTTAAAGCCTTTATACAACGGATTGCTTCACAGGCATTTGGATTAAAGTGTAATTAAAATTTGGTTTAGTATGGAAATAGTCATATTCAGTTGATGCTGTCTCATTGTATCATATACTTTTCTCCTATAATTCTTTCTCCTATAATTCGTGTCAGTTTCTTTTTTCCATCCCTTTTTTTATTTTCTCCAGTGATCACCAATATGTGTAACCATATGTTTTCGCTGGTTGCTGGAGTCGGAGAACGCTTTACCACATACATTACACACATATGGCTTTATCCCGGTATGACATTTTAGATGTGCAGTTAACGAAGATTTCCAGGAAAATGTACGAGTACAGAAAGTGCAATCATACTGGCCCTTCTCACATGCATTCTTTTTCTTCTGAACATCTGGAACAACTAGAACTGCCACTATCATGGCGTGAATACCCCCGCATACCACTTTGTCAGAATCAACAGTGGCCATTTAGAGCTCAAGGACAACCTCCCTGCCAAATCTGAGGTTACTAAGCCAGTGCATTGCTAAGTTATGTATTCTACATGCTTCAAATGTGAAAATGTCAAAATAAATACATTGCGGACAGGACATTCTTTAGCAATTGAGAAGAAAAGCTTTTTTTGTCAAGGTCCCTGTGACCTTGACCTTTGACCCAGTGACTTCAAAATCAATAGGGGTCACCTTATAGTCATGATCAACATCCATACCAAATATGAAGACTGTGGGTCAAAGGAATCTTAAGTTAATGGGTGGACAAACTTTTTGAAGTCAAAGTCCCTATGACCTTGACCTTTGATCCAGTGACCTCAAAATCAAAAGGGGTCATCTACTAATCATGATCAACATCCATGTCAAATATGAAGACTGTGGGTTCAAAGGAATCTAAAGTTATTGGGCAGACAAAGTTTTTGAAGTCAAAGTCCCTGTGACCTTGACCTTTGACCTGGTGACCTCAAAATCAATAGGGGTCATCTACTTAATCATGACTAACCTCCATGCCAAATATGACGACTGTAGGTCAAAGGAATCTTAAGTTATTGGGCGGACAAGCTTTTTGAAGTCAAGGCCCCTGTGACCTTGACCTTTGACCTGGTGACCTCAAAATCAATAGGGGTCATCTACTAATCATGACTAACCTCCATGCCAAATATGAAGACTAAGGGTCAAAGGAATCTTAAGTTATTGGGCGGACAAGCTTTTTGAAGTCAAGGCCCCTGTGACCTTGACCTTTGACCTAGTGACCTCAAAATCGATAGGGGTCATCTACTTATCATGACTAAACTCCATGCCAAATATGAAGACTAAGGGTCAAAGGAATCTTAAGTTATTGGGCGGACAAGCTTTTTGAAGTCAAGGCCCCTGTGACCTTGACCTTTGACCTAGTGACCTCAAAATCGATAGGGGTCATCTACTTATCATGACTAAACTCCATGCCAAATATGAAGACTAAGGGTCAAAGGAATCTTAAGTTATTGGGCGGACAAGCTTTTTGAAGTCAAGGCCCCTGTGACCTTGACCTTTGACCTAGTGACCTCAAAATCGATAGGGGTCATCTACTAATCATGACTAACCTCCATGCCAAATATGAAGACTAAGGGTCAAAGGAATCTTAAGTTATTGGGCGGACAAGCTTTTTGAAGTCAAGGCCCCTGTGACCTTGACCTTTGACCTAGTGACCTCAAAATCAATAGGGGTCATCTACTAATCATGACTAACCTCCATGCCAAATATGAAGACTAAGGGTCAAAGGAATCTTAAGTTATTGGGGCGGACAAGCTTTTTGAAGTCAAGGCCCCTGTGACCTTGACCTTTGACCTAGTGACCTCAAAATCAATAGGGGTCATCTACTAATCATGACTAACCTCCATGCCAAATATGAAGACTAAGGGTCAAAGGAATCTTAAGTTATTGGGCGGACAAGCTTTTTTGAAGTCAAGGCCCCTGTGACCTTGACCTTTGACCTAGTGACCTTCAAAATCAATAGGGGTCATCTACTAATCATGACTAACCTCCATGCCAAATATGAAGACTAAGGGTCAAAGGAATCTTAAGTTATTGGGCGGACAAGAAAAAACCGACGGCCGGACGGACGGACGGCCGGACGGACGGACAGCCGGACGGACGGACAAGCTGATTCCAGTATACCCCCCTTACAACTTTGTTGTGCGGGGGTATAAAAAGGAAAAGCAATGAGAAGTCTAATAATCAAAGAACAAGAAATTTTTTTATTACCTTATGAGTGTCATAATTTTTCAATTATTCAACATATGTAACATCAGTTTTTAATTACTTAACATTTGTGGCAATGATAAAAGAAGCTTCAAATAGTAGTAAAATATCTATAACACTGAACAAAGTCCATGTATAAAATTTCAATCATAAACTATAGTTTGAGATATTATGAAAGGGATACTTAATTTACAAATCAAAGACAGATTGATAACATCTTATCTGGTTATCAAGCCATCTTGTTATTAGGACATCTTATTGGGACACACAGATACAGTGACTTTTAACCTTATAATTATAACAGTGCCTTTTAAAAGCCTCAACTTCCCAAATGGAACTTTCATAATATCATGCATTTTATTTTCCCAAAAGTCTGAACTTTCACCAGCTTTTCCACTTTCTTTAATAGCAATTTTAGCGATAATTCTTCCCCAAATCAAGAAGATTTTAATAGACAAGCAATACTGGCATACAGTAAAAATTTGCATCATTCCCCATACCAACTTAGTTTTTTAGAATATTCCTGGTCTCTGTTATCTATTCTTGAAATAGGTTTAACATTGAAAACACAAAAATCAGATTTATACAAATGATGAAACAACATCTTGAATCCTTCATCATAGGTTCACTAATGGTTAAAACTTCCTATATCTGGTACTCTTAAAACAAACTTTGAACATTTCTATACTCATTGTGTACAAATATAGAAATAAATCTGTCATGTCAGAGGGCTTGCTTTGGCAAGCTGAAAGGTCTCTTAAAATTACTAATAACTTAATTAAACAAATCATTATGGCTAATTAAATTAAACTTAAATGTCATGTTTTGGTGTGCAACAAGCCAGCTAAATTAACTTTATGTGATATGTAGACACAGAACAATTTGGCATTAGATAAATGAAACATAGTTCATTATCATTACTTTTGGTTTATTATAAATATCTAGAAAAAGAAAAAAATCAACTCTTTTCAAAGTTTTATTTTCACAATAATAATACAACAAAATTTCAAGAAAAATGTATATCTTAAATATATTTTAATGTTACAAAATTCTGGAAACAAAGTGATCCCTCGGAAGCATTAATCACAACAAAATAACATAAGAATTGCAGACTCGGTTTGATTGAGTCTGTACATGAGGGATAATGAATAAGTTTCAACATCCCTCACCCCCCTAGCACCGGGTTTTAGCGGTACTATTTAAAACTTTAAATGCTGGCATCAATGATCCCGAAGGACCAAAAAATTTAAAATAAAAAAAACTGAAAATGAAAGACGGGGGCAACTTTTACGGGTCCACACGGCATTGGGAACCTCCCCTTTTTGAAGTACAAAATTCTGGAAACAAAGTGATCCCTCTTTAAATATATCAACTTTAAAGATATCAAGATGGTTTAAAACAAATACTCTGAACACAGAAATTTTACAACATGTACCTTATACCAGTACAACAATCACATTATCTCAATTCTTGTCCAACAATCACATTATCTCAATGCCTGTAAAACAATCACACTATCTTAATGCCTGTCCAACAATCACATTATGTCAATGCCAGTACAACAATCACATTATCTCAATGCCAGTACAACAATCACATTATCTCAATGTCAGTACAACAATCACATTATCTCAATGCGAGTACAACAATCACATTATCTCAATTCTTGTCCAACAATCACATTATCTCAATTCTTGTCCAACAATCACATTATCTCAATACTTGTACAACAATCACATTATCTTAATGCCAGTACAACAATCACATTATCTCAATTCTTGTCCAACAATCACATTATCTCAATGCCTGTAAAACAATCACACTATCTTAATGCCTGCCCAACAATCACATTATGTCAATGCCAGTACAACAATCACATTATCTCAATGCCAGTACAACAATCACATTATCTCAATGTCAGTACAACAATCACATTATCTCAATGCGAGTACAACAATCACATTATCTCAATTCTTGTCCAACAATCACATCATCTCAATTCTTGTCCAACAATCACATTATCTCAATACTTGTACAACAATCACATTATCTTAATGCCAGTACAACAATCACATTATCTCAATTCTTGTCCAACAATCACATTATCTCAATTCTTGTCCAACAATCACATTATCTCAATGCCTGTCCAACAATCACATTATCTCAATACCTGTCCATAAATCACATTATCTCAATGCCTGTCCAACAATCACTTTGTCATAATGCCTGTTCTGGCTGTGCAACAATCACATTATCTCAAAGACTGTCCAATAATTCTTGCTGTCAATTTTATGTTAAATGTACAACAGCATGTTTATTCATATTGTCTCTATCAGAGAAAGCTTTGAAGCAGACATTACAAACATAGGGTTTCTCGCCGGTGTGTATTCTGTAATGTCTCTGAAGATTCCAATTTCTAGGGAAAGATTTGCCACACATGTCACACTGGTGGGGCTTTCTTGCTGCACTATCTAAGTTACTTGTATGGCCATCACCATCTGAAGAAACTGAAAATATAAATACACATATCACAATGAGATATATGACTTCATTGTATATTTTTCTGCATTTTCTTATCCAATTTCTGTACAGGAAATCCTTACAAATCCTGACCACTGTTGACAGTAACATGTTTTACAACATGACAGAAAAGTGAACTAATCAAAAGTGAACTTGTAAAAAGTGGCAAATGTACAACAAGCAGAGAATTTACTTTACACAAAACTTTTATATTTCAAAGACTTGCATGGCAAGTTTAGGGCTTATGGGGCCAAACTTATTAATCTTAAATAAATTATAAATTAACAGATGTAAGCATTTAAATAAATTTGATACAAGAAGTTTAAAATTTGGTGATTTTTTGGATGGCACTTATTGACTAAAAGAAAATTAGGATGACATTTGTTATACATGATCTAAAAGTTCTTGAATCCACAAAAAAAAATGAAATTTCTATGAATGGATACAATTAACTTTGTATTGAAGGAAGTTTAAAATTCATATTCTTGGATAACAACAAACTGACTACACTTGATGGCTATAACAAACAGAATTTCCATTTTTCAAATTTTTTTATTTTTTTTTTGGCAAAATAGTACCAAGAACACAGACAGACAGACAGACAGACGGACAACATAAATATACACACATGTATTATATGTGTATAACATAGGAATGACGTCTAAACTAACTTTGCTAGAAATTCTAGATATAACGATTGTCTTCAAAAATGGCTTTCAAAATCCTCGGAATTTTTCCACATTTAAGAACCTTATATCTGTGTAGCATTAATTTAAATAGCATAACCTTAAGACAAAGAAACCTTACACAATGATTAAAGACACAATAAGCCTCAGGAATGAACTTTTTCCCCTTTCTGTAATATAAGGGCAAATACAAGTATATTATGCAAAATGGATTTCAAACATATTATGTGACACTTATCAATTGAAGAAAACAGTGTTGTAGTAATTTGTTCTACAGGGGTAGCAAAATATAAACAAAGTAGTATTTTGGTTCTAAATCACTATAAGTAATTAATAGCTGAAACACAAAAGAAGCAAAAGATATCTCAGCTATATGGCCAATGATTAAATATTTTTGAAAACTGTAACAAGTTACCTTTTTTTTTCAAAGAATACAAAAATATAGCACTGTTTTGCTTTAATGGGCCTTTAAATGACCAATAAAATTTATCATTTTGAAAAAGTTCTCATAATGGCAATCAGCAACAAAATCCCTCTTTTTGCACATCACCTTTACTGTAACTTCCAGTTCTTTTGACACTACTCCAGGGTCAATGTTACTTTAATGTAGTATTCACTTTGAACTTATATAAGAATAATTAGTGTTCCATGTAACAAAAAAAGCTCTATCATAATTAAGTAAATATTAATTTTATAGATAAAGGTGGACAGCTCCGTGCTTTCTCAAATTTCCTTTATCAGAGAAAGATTTGTTACATATGGTACAAGTGAACGGTTTCTCTCCTGTGTGCATTCTATAGTGTCTCTTCAGCTGCCAGTTCTTCGGAAAGATTTTCCCGCACACGTCACAAGGGAACAACTGCTCCTCCAGTGTTGTACAACCAGCACGTCGCCTGTTTTTATCTCCTGCAACCTGGCTGCTATCTGAAAAAATACAGAGCTAGAATGAGAAAAATAACAGACAAATAGTTATACAGCTGGAAACAATACTTCATTAATATAACAAAGATTTATTCCAGAAAATAAACATCATTAAAATGTAAGAAATATATACATGTATATATGTAATAATAAACAGAAACTTATAATACTCAAGTTACACATCCACAATAATTAACTAACAAACATGTATCAAACCCAATCAATCTTAAGCACTAAAACATCTAAAGCCTTCATTTCAAATCTTCCTTTCTTTGTATTTTTTTTATCTTTATACTTTTCTATTACATTTTCAATTTTGACTTAAAAGTTCAGCTCAATGATTTCAATTTTGATAGTATGACTAATCAACTGTTATCCTGCTTGCGGCCATGGACAAGGCCATTTAAGAATTTTAGCAGGGTATGGGTAAATTACATTATAAATATACAGGGTTATACATAGGAAAAAGAAAAGCATTTATCATAACATTAAGTTTTTATTATTTTTGTGTGTACACATACACTGTACTGTATAACATGCAGAAAGAATGCGAGGAAAAATCTTCACACTTGTGAAATGGTCTAATACTATTTTGTAAGTTGTTTTCAAAGATCCTGTATGTTGTAATTAAGGTTGTAAACACACTTAAGTGAAATTATATTTATGTATATAATTATTCTTCTAAAACAATTTTCAAACATCCAAGAATATGTTAAATAATTCTACTGTGAATGTTTAAACGCATTATATGTAATAATTAAAATATATACATTCATTTCTTATTGAAAAATTTCGCTTAGACTTTATAGAAAATAAATGTCTAATTATCTCCCTTTATTTACATGAAATGTAAATTTGGTATAATGCTTTTTGGAACTTACAATATTGATAAATCTTCATTTGAGCATCATAAATATGATATAACTCCATAAAAAAATTGAGTTACAGGATCTTGAAAATTTAATTATCTTCAAGGACACACATCAATGGAGAAGAAACAATTTCATTTTGTCACTATAACAACTGATGTATTGTTAAACTGCTGAAAGTTTTAAACCTAATCCAAAGGAATATGTTCTAGTATGATTTGAGTTATATGTCATAAGATTAATAATTCCACATATAGTAAACACACAACTGTAATTATGTCATATAAACACAAATTAACACATACATGATTGTACATATTTTCAATGTTTTTGTTTCAGAAACATTCCCTAGTTGTCATAACTCCCTAGTTGTCATAACTGGTCTGTAGACTACACAATATTGTACACATCATTTATATTTAAATTCATATGTTTTATTTTAGATATTTATATTCATATGTATTAATCGATGTTTTGAAAGGTTCCCTTTGTCAGAAAATGCTCTGTCACAAGTTTCGCACTTGAACGGTTTTTCACCAGTATGTATGAACACGTGTCTTTGTAGCCACGACTGATACAAGAAACTCTTCCCACAAAACGGACATTGATACTTCCTCCCGGTCGCACCCTCTTCAAGGTCGCCTGAAATAAAACAATATTATAAACATGAGAATGTTGTCCACTTTTTTTTTGCTGTTGAAACAGTTTGGAAAAAAAATTATTTCAAATAACATACAATGTGCCCCGTTTAAATCCTCCAATTCCTCAAAAATCTGCTCCCCTCCCCCTCCCCAACCCCTCTCACCTCTGCTGGGAATATAGTTCTTACTGAAAATACTCCAATCTTCCTGTAATTCAAATTGACCATATTCTTACTTATTTTTATGGCAAAATGTATTGAAACATTAGTTATCATTACATGCAGCAAAATGTTATTTTATTGAGAGTTGGACAAGTAAAACCAATTACATTAAGCTTGGTTATTTAGTAACACTTGTTAGTCTGTTTAAACCAGAAATTTATCAGTTATGAAATTATTTTATTGGGAAAATTTTACAAATATGACAAGATGTTTATTTTGAAAATTTTACAAATATTAATCCCTTTACATGTTATGTTGGAAGATTTAGGAACATAAATACTATTGGGTATTATATAACTTAAGTGACTAACTCTTTAGTATAACAACAGTTCATTAACATTTAATTAACAAAAAAACAAATTTCAACCTTTATTTATACAAATCGTTTAAAAAAAAAAAACAAGTCATTTTTTTATCATGTTACAGACCCCTGATGGTCAAAGGAAATTAAAATGAAATCAATACTGCTGTGTACAAACAACTTTATCAATGTCAAACCAAGAGCTTGTAACATATTTAACATTAAACAAATTTTACAAAAGAACAAAATCACAAGAGTTGCTGAAATACACATAGACTGTTTAAAGGAAACCAGTCAAAATTTAACAGTATGTGAGAAATATTTTACTGTTGCGTAAATAAGCAAATTTCACACATTATCAAAGGTTCATCGTGGTTGATATTCAAGAACAAAGCAAAAATAAACACCAGAAGAAAGTAACTTTCACTTGTGTACTCCAATTATTTTCCCTATGGAGTGTGGCTTCAACTTTTCTTTTTGTTTTTGTGTACTAAACTTCAATATATTACACTTATCACACATCATTACAACAGTAAGGATACAAAAAAATAACATTTTTGCAATAGACACAAAATACTTCCTTCACAAGTTTGAACACTGCAAAACAGACAGAAATTTTTATTTACATTAAATTATTTACAATTATTTCTAGTAAATATTTGGAAATTCCTTCTGTAATTCCGATGACTCACTGTTCAGCCATTACGAAAGTGATAAGTTTTTCCCATCAGCATAGAGCTAGGCCAGCCCAAACATCAATCAAGTCTAACCAGGCTCTATATAGTTGACTGACTAACTCTGAATCTTCATCTTGGTATACCCAAAACTTGAAATAGATAGTTCCAAACATGGAATCTGGACAAGTCCATTTGAAAACACATCAACAAGATTTAGGGGCTTAGAACTGTCCACTTTTAAAGATATGCACACTATACACATGTTTTTTCATGTTACTCTTCACTGAGAAGGCTCTACCACAATGTGTACAAACAAACGGCTTTTCTCCAGTGTGAACTCGCACATGTCGCTGTAACTCCCAATTAGAGCGAAAACTTTTCTGACAAAAACTGCAACATAGTTGCTGCTGGTGAGCGTTCCCTGAATTACCTGAAATGGAGAAAATAATTTTACGTAAAATCATTACTAAAATCTATACCATGCTTATAGCTTGAAGACTAAGTAAAGTTTAGAGGAAATTGTTCATGTGTATGGCTATTTTATCAACTAGTGTACATGTATAACATGCAAGTGTCAACAAAGTTCACACATTTGTCCATTCTGGTGGTGCTTATCCTTACTACTGACTACATTGAATACATATTCTTTTCCTATGTATGTATCAGTTTTT